TATCTCTGGGGCCTAGGAAGTGCTTGATAAATATTTGTTGAGCAGCTGATTGCTGGTACTTTTTCACTCCGTTCTATCAATATATTTTTTGTTTATAACCTTATATTACACTGAATTCTACTTGCTTCATTCTGGTGCTGATAAGCCATTTCTTTCATTTATTTAAGAAAGGTTTGGGCTGGCTGAGTGGTGCGTTGGTTGGGAGTTGGCTTGGGACACCAGCTCTGAGCAGCAGGGCCCTGGTTCGGATCCCACATGGGGGCCAGTGATGCTGCACCCTCTACAGCTAAGATGGTGAACAACAGCTCGACCTGGAGCTGGGCTGCTGTGAGTCGCAATGGCGTAGGCTGAAGTGGGGCTGGCCGGCAGTGGGCATGAGCTTTCGTGAGTTGCCATGAGCCACCGTGAGCGGCCGTCCAATGGCCGGCGAGTGACTGCCTAACCCAAGAAGGGCGCAATGATAATACCAACATGGGCCAGTGAAGCGATGTCCTCCACAACTAGACTGAAGAACAAAAGGACAGCAACTTGTCTGTTCCCCTCCCCCGATTCCCCAGTGCTGTTCCCCTCCCCTGATTCCCAATAAAATCTTTAAAAAAAAAAAGTTTACAAGGGGTGACCGGTTAGCTCAGTTGGTTAGAGCGTGGTGCTGATAACATCAAGGTTGCCGGTTTGATCCCCACATGGGCCACTGTGAGCTGCACCCTCCCTAAAAGAGTCAACTATGCCATTGTAGCATAAAAGCAGTGTGTAACCAATGACCATGGCTGTTCCCCAATGAAATTAAAAAAAAAAAAAAGAAAGGTTTATAGAATACCTAGTTCATTTGTAGGGCAAAACTAGTTCATTTATAGGGCAAAGATACTTCTTCATGAGCTTTCATAAGGAGTCATATGTAGATGGACACACAATGTTTACATACAGTCTCTTACTACATGTTCATATGTTGCCGTCTTTTTCTTTTATCATCCCAGACCATGAGTTATCATGTTCTGTGAGTACTTCTCTCCCGGCCAATGAAGGGAGATCCTGTGTGATGACTTCTCTGTTGCGAGACTGTATTATATACATTCCTTTTGTAAAGGAAAGGGATCTGGCAGAGTCTTGAAGTTTAGTGAAGGGTAGAATTCAGGCTGCGATCGTTTTCAGACCATGTCCAAGGAGCATAGTTACTAAACTCTCAAAAGGATTTCAGTTAAGGTTGTTTTACCTAGAAGGGAGCCACAGAGCATGGCTCCATTTTAGTAAGATTTCTTGTTCGTTTGTTTTGCCTGAAAAGATTCAGGCCTCTTGGAGTTGAGTGAAAGTGAAGAAATAGAGAGGTTTGGAAAGAAGTCAGGAAAATGTACAGGGTTTCCTTATAGAATCATGCTTCTTTCGTATTCGATCTCCGTCACCCCTAAGAGCTGCTTCTTCCTGGCATTTACACAGGGAGAAGACGTCGACTAATTAGAACTAGAAAGATGAAGGGCAGCTAATGCGTCAAATCTCAATTTCATATATACGTCACACCATCTTTTTTTTTTTAATAGAAAAACTTGAGCCCCCTCAATTAAAAAACAAACAGAGTGGGCTCCATGGGGAGGGCAGAATAAACCCGCTTTTTCTGAGGAGGACACATGTGGCTTTCAGAGGCATCAGGTGTTGTTAGCATCTTGTCACTATGAAAGCCCTGCCTCCCTCCCTGACTGCTGCTGGCTCCGACCGCGTCGTACAATTCAGGAAGCTGAAGTGTGAGGAGAGGGGGGATTTGTCTCCTATCAAGTAGCAAGTTGGCACACTGAAGAACGGAGGCCAGGTCTCAGGAATACGGGCCAGGCCTGTCCATGCCCCAGACCAGCGTCTGGGGGCTGAGCTGCCCGCTCACCTCTTTACCTGCCATCAGCACCCACGCCACCCCATTGATGGGGTTGACGCAGCTTGGTGGGTCACCTCTACTTTTAGTCTTCAGGTCTCACGTCTCGGCTCCATCTGTCCCAAACATGAGAGGAAATGCTTCACCTCGCTCTGACGGAGCCCATCGTCACCTGCCTATGGAATTGGGCTCCAGGACCGTTTGTCCCAGGTGGTATTTCCAGGGCTGCCCCCTGCTTTTTTGGCTAAAGGACAGACAGTTCCGTTACCCCGGAGACCATTCGTACACATCGGTTGTCATCTGGGGACACCCAGCCTATCTCATCCAACGATTCGTCCCCAGCCCTTCTTCAACCTTCCCCACAGTCCCCCTCCTCTCCTCCCATTGACGGATGTAGTTTTCTGTCCCTGAAAATGACCTCGTGGTCACATAGGTTGTGAGCTCCCTGCTGAGCGATGTCCATCAGGTCCGCCTTGGCTTCTGCGGTCCCCCTGCACAGCACAGTTTCTTCCTCCTGGTCCTGATGTGTTGTTGTTTGTTTCTTGTTTTGACTTTGGAAGAAAGTTTGTTTCAGATGTCACAGGGCAGCCAATGACCAGTATCTCCCTGTATACTTTTCCTTTTCCTCGACTCTTCTTGCTCCTTAGGATTCTGGTCCTCCACATGAAAAGCCCAAGTACGCAAAACTCAAGTGGTATTTTCAGTCTTGTGATTTTCAGAGGTGTAAGTTCTAGGACTATGAATGAAACTAAGGTCATGACACAGCAGATTTGATCTTAGAAAGTTCCAGAAGCCTCGTGACTCTCCCTCCCCACCCCCCTACCCTCCCAAGATAGCACTTGATCATAGAATTCGATCTCCAGAGTGGAGGTGGAACCGTTGAAAAAAGGAGTATCCCTTTTGCTGTGATGTGCCAGGGTTCGTGTGGAGAAGTAAGTTGGCACCGACTCAAGAACCAGGCAGCGTGTGGCCTCGCCAGTGCTGCTCTTGCCAAGGAGCCAGGAGGGAGGGGAGTGACAGCCACCAGCCAGTGCCAGCTCGGATCAGCGTGCTGCGGCCTCTGAGGCATGCACGACTTCCCTGATCTAGGAGATTGAGGGTAAAATCCCCGCAGGACAGAAGCTGCTGCTTGCCCACACTGCGCTGTTAACTAGCCATGAAAGTAGTGTGGCTGTTGAAGTTACCACCACATTCGCTTATAGATTTATCTTTCACAATCTCTTTGGGAGCAACTCCAGACACACCCTGTTCCACAGACACCTCCAGGAGGTTGTAAATTCTGCTGGCTCTGCATTATTTAAATTGTGCTTGGTCATTCTCATAAAATCTGCAAGATGATTTATTGTTTCTACACTGGAATTTTCACAGGTGTTTGACGTAAAAATAGTTTTATTAAAATTTAAAGTATTTCTTCTCTCAAGCATCTACCAACCCCGAAGAGTACTGTACATTTGGAAAATCTGTGTCATTTCTGTGTTCCCCTATGTTAGATACTAAAGGCAGAATTAGCATTTTCATTACCATTTAAACAATTGAAGATACTTATTTCCAGATAGTATATAATAGTTTCCCTATAGTCAGTAATATAGTCATATATTAATTAGTTAAATATCTAACTGGACAACACAAAATACCTAGATTTGTTGTGCAGTTATCAATTCTCTACAGAGAAATCTGGCTTACATGACACTAAGTGCATTAAAACATCATTATATTAAATGTGCTGTATTTATTTGCAGGAGCTGTTTTTCCTAACAGATACTTTCTGTGGGCCTTTTCTTTTTCTCATAGTTTAAATTTCAAGCATTTAGTAGAGTGACTGCATGAGTGTGTATCTATACCCTGGCATGATAAGCTTTTTATTTTAACACTCAGATTTGAGGGGGGGAAATCCACTCTTCTTACTGGCTGATGCATTATTTAAGAAGTTAGTATGTTTGAAAATAGCTCCTAATTGATATCAGCATCTTCTAATGCTCTTATTTATGGAATACATTTTATATCTGTATAATTTTAGAGTCATCTGTAAGTAATATTTATTAAGTACCCGCAGTGCATCACAGAGATACTTTAGTGCAAAAACAAAAACAAAAAAATTCCCTGAGAGAAAAAGTATCTTATTTAAAAAGTTAATGTAAAAATTCTGGAGATCTGTTACACAACAATGTGAATATACTTAACTGAACTGTGCACTTAAAAATGGTTAAGATCGTAAATTTTCTGTTATGTGTGTTTTACCACAATTAAAAAAAAAAGTCAATGCATACATGAGGTGGGGTTTGAAACAACCTGTTCTCTTTTGCACGTAGTTAGCAAGTGGAGGTGGTGGTGTTTTGGTCCTGGCAGGTCCAGGGTCGGGGTGGACAGGACAGGGCTGGGGGCAGGGCCGGGGTGGGGGCTATACTTCCCCTTCCGGTGCTTGTGCAGCCAGGGACCCCTGGACACCACCTGGCTGAGTCACAGCTCCCGCAGTGTCTCCCTGGTGAGGTAGGCATCCCTTGCCCCAATGCCTCTCTTCTCTTACACTGTCATCTCTGAGGGCGATGTCTCCGCGGACTGTCTCACACCCTCTGCTATCTGTGCTGCTGCTGTGATAACAGCTGGCTCTCAAAAGGTTCGCTTTGCATCCCAGCCATTGCCACACATTCCTCCAAGTGCCTGCGCCTGACTGCTGGCAGGAGGGTGGGCTGCCCCACCAGTCTGGCCATCACAAATGAATGGCCTGAGCGGCTCCCAGCAGAGGACATCTGCCTCAGCCCATTTTCTTATAACACCCTCACCCAGAAACACTCCCGAGGAGGGAATTGAAAGTTTGTCGCAAGTGAAACCTACTCAGGAAACCTCTTTTATTTTAAGAGAATTTGGCCAGAAAAAGATTAAATTGAGATGCAGCAGGAATATGATTGGTTTCTTCAGACCATAGCCAGTTTTCTTGCCTTTAATTTTTATGGATTACTTAAGGATCTAAAGACTTGCATCTGGAATCAGTAATCTTTGCCATTTTCAAAGAAGGGTTGGTGAGTTTGTTTTTAGTGGGGTGTTTTGTTTGTTTTGGGGTTTTTTTGTAGATTTTGGGTTTTGTTTTTGTTTTTGTTTTTGTTTTTTTACTAACTTACAGTGATATATTTGGCCCTGCTCCCATTAGGAGGTGAAAGCATGGAAATTAAAAAACAAATTACAGGAATGAGAAGATTACTGAATGACAGCACTGGGAGGATATATCAGCGTGTGGGCAAGGAAGGAGAAAAATTAAAAGAAGAACCCCAGGATTTGGACTCCATCTGGCCGCAGCGTCTGAACTCCTCTGCTGAGGCCCCCCAGAGCCTCCACCGTTCTTCGCGGGGTGTGTGGACTGAGTTCCCGCCCCAAAGTGGGCAGTTCTCAGGACAGACTGGCCCCCGCTCTAGAACCTTCCAGAGTCAGCCGCACACCCCTGGGAGCTCCAATGGTATGGTCATTATCAGATAGAATGCTTTCATGGGGGAAGGGGATGTCTAAATGTGTTTTATGTATAAATGTTCAGTATCGTCTTTGAGTTTATCACAGAAGTCCTCATGTAACATTATCGGTAGGTTTTTGGAAACTGTGACTTTAAGAAAAACGACATATAATGAAACCAATTTTACCATAAACAGATAACAAACAAGAGTTAACTTCCTTACAGCCTGTTTCTGGTCACAAAAGCATCACCAAACTTCAAAATAAAAACCCAAAAACCTAAATATTAAAATAAATGTGACCTACACATACAGTTAAGAAAGATGGATAAAAAAAAAAGTAAGAATTCTTTTCCAACCTGCTTGTTCTAGTTCAGTGTCACAAGTGGCTGGAGCCTCTCTTGGCCGCTCAGGGCACAAGGCAGGGACCCACTCACGACAGGACGCCCTTCCATCACAGGGCCACTCACACACCTCACAGTCCCTCAGACTGGGACACGCACACACGCCAGTGACCCTCACGTGCACATCTTTGGGATGTGGGGGGAAACGGGAGTCCCCGGAGGAAACCACCACAGATGTGGGGGGAACTTGCCAACCCCACAGACAGTGGCCCCGGCCGGGAATAAATGTTTTTTTTCTCATCAACATTATTATAAGAAAACGACATTATTTGAGGCCCCGCTGTCCATTAAACCCTCTCTTAATCACCTGCCTTAGCTGAGTTATTTTAAAAGACAGGGAAGATGTAGAGGAAAACGTTGAGTATAACAAACCAGAACTGAGAAGCAGGAAAGACTGGGGGTTCTGTAATAGAAGTGATGGTTTCTTAGAGATTTGAGCCCTTTAAGACGTTCAAGTTGTCATTTGCCAAAATACAGATATTGTTGTCACAAAAAAACTGAACAGTAGGGCAGAAAGAGCTCCCCTTTGCCATTGAAAAAGCTTTCTGATCACATGGTGTGTTATTAATACATCCTCTTGCTTGTGGCTTTGCTTTTCTTCATTATCAGGAGTCATGGTTAAAGGGAAGGCTGATAAACTAGCACCCTAGTACCTTTGCTTAACCTCACATTCCAGCGACTGAACCAGATGATCCATATTTTATACCTTGCTTCATTAGGGTTGAAATTTATTCCTTTAAAGTAAAATTTCCTTCATTTACATTTCTAATTGTTCAGGAAAGAAATCAAATGGCAAAATTTTTTTTTCAAAGCTTAAGGAAAAAAAATTGATGATTTTTTTTCCCAGTCATGTTAATTTCCATCCAGTGACATTGAATGTTACTTGTTCTATAATTTATGTATAGATGTGCAGATCTATAGTTCTCACAAAGAACATGAAAAAAGTAGGAATGCATTTTCAGTATCCTTGAAAAGTAAAGGATTTTCCCCCCCATTCATTATCCTTCAAGATAAAGAGACCTGTTTTGTTTTTAAATGCAATTTGGCGTAACCAGTTCAGAGGCATGAAAAGCCACCCTGAGACACTGCTGATGAGACAGCAAGGGACCCCAAGAGACGTACTGGTGTCTTCTCTGTCTCTCAATATTACATAAGCCAATATCAAATTCACGAGCTGGCTTGTTTCCAGGTTAGAGGGAGATAGCGCTTGAAAGAGACTCCTCCATAAAAATAAAAAGTCAGTTCTCTTTCAAATTAGAAAATGATTTATAACAAGCTGAAAAGGGTTGGTTTTGTCCTCTATAAAGGATAAAGATAGTACTTAGAATAGTGACTCGAAATATTCTGCAAGGCCTTTCTGATTCTATGGTCATGGGAGAAACGAGAAGAAATATAATATACCCTTAGGAATGGATGGAGTTAGCAAACCCCACGTCAGTAGTGCTGGGTGAACAGGGTTCTCTTTTCCAGTACACGACAAAGGAGGTGCGTTTACTCTGAAAAACGTTATGTTAGAAACGACAAACATAAATACCCTCGTATTCACTTGAAAATAGGTCTTTGTCTGTTTTCATGTTTTCAATAGAAATTCATTATATATAGCCGTAACTACTTTGGTATGTCATTGCAATTATTTGAAATTTTAAAGTTATAACATCTCAGTTTGCTACAACTTTGATAAGTGATGGCGCTGCTCCAAACATGAAGCTATTTTTTTAAGTGTTTTCATGGTTTTGCTGTGGTGAACTTTTCTATAGTATCCACAAATAGTGCATAAAATTTAAATTGCACGTAATGTATAATAAAAGATGTAATTGGACCAAAACCTTAGAACTTACCTCTCCCACCTATGAAAAAACCTAAGTGATAGTGTCATATACGGTCCAGTTTATGGTAATGGGGTTGCATACTGGTGTTAGAGGGAACGCCACTGAAAGAGGGATTTTCCAAATGTTCCATTTTATTCTGAGGACAACAGGAAGATGTTTGTTTACTTAAAAAGGAAACAGGACAGATTAGTTTTTTCAAGGAAAAGATGTTGGATTTAAACAGTGAAAAAGAGACTGAAATGAGGGAAATGTAAGAAAGTGGGAAAGGAAAAGAGATGTAGGAAGATCGCCTTTATTAAGTTGGAGAAAAGCCAGCACACCAACACCCTCTAACCAAATTCAAATGCATCCTCCTATACCCTGTTTCCCCACTCTCCCACACCGCAGACACACCACACCCAGAGAGTTTTAATGTACTGACAGTTCTTAAGTTTTTAAATAACATGCTTAATACTAAAACTATTTTTAATACGTAATTAGACACATTGAACTCTTACTACAAACTCTTATAACTCATGCAGCTACCAGGGATTTTTGTAAGGCTATTCTCAGAGCTAGTTTTTTGTGCAAAGTAGCATGAGCGTGTTTCTAGTAAATTTTTACGGCATTGTTGTCTGAGATGAACTGTAACCATAGAGAAGCCTGCTGTGACCGTCCATTGTGTGTGGACATGCACGCAGGCTCCACTGCCACGTGGAACAGCATGCACCTTATAATACAGAAGCCTGGATAATTAGAGCGACTCAGACCCCAAAACTTAAATTGTGGAAATTATCGGGTACATTTTCCTTAGGCACAGGCACATAATAATTGCACAGGCTTCAGAGTCCTGTCAGGATACCTTCCCCCCTGCCTTTTAAAAATAATTTTGTTGTTGTTTGAAATATGTCATTCTTTTCTTTACTGCTTAGGAGAACTTCCAGTGGTGAATTCGTCAGTTGGATCAAACTGCTGTACTTGTAACTGCCAGTCCACGTTGCAGGCCATTCTCCAAGAACTCAAGACCATGCGGAAATTAATGCAAATCCAAGCAGGTACAGAGATCGGGCCTCGGATCGAGTCCTCTGATTTTTAATACATATCTGACATCTTCAGGTGGGGTGTTTGTTATGCTTTTGTTATTTAGTTCTTCCCTCTGTGCTGTCCTGCTGTGATTTTTCAAGTATCCATTTTCTCAGCTTTTTCTCCAACCCGTTTTTCCTTTAGCAAACCGAACATATATTTTTTTGCTAATAATCCTACCTCTATACTTATGTACAGGTGCTCCGTATACTTTGCCCCTTGATCTCCTAGCACCTCACAAATATCAGTTCATGAAATTTTGAAACTGTTATACATGAAGATGGGCAGAGTTCTTCAGCTCACTGTCGGAATGTAAATCGACACAGAGGTTCAGATGAGGAAAGAAAATGAGGCCGCCTCATCTGACCCCCGCCCCCAGGTGCTTGATTTGGGGGCTGCCTGCATCTCGACAACCCCCACTCCTGTACGAAAAACCTTTGGGGCTTGGTGTGAGCGTAGGGGAAGCCACACATTTGTATAGATATGGAGGAGCCCTTAGGAAGTGTGGGTCCCCCTGGTGAAAAGCATAAGCTGACAAGAAATGGCCTTCAGGCACTGCTGGTGGCTTTTCTCCCTAACATTCAGGACATAGAAGCTCAGACACCTCGAATTTTGTCTTTATTTATATGATGCCCTTTTTGTCCTCATTCCTGTTAGGCACACTGAAGAAGCAGTGAATTTATAGTTTGGGGTCAGAGTTCATTTTCTCCTCTTTATAGCTGTGTGACTTCTCTGAGCCTCAGATTTCTCCTCTGTCACTGGAGTATGACTCTCGGGGTTGTTTTCAGAAGAGAGTGAGATGGTAAAGGTCAAATGAACTCTGTAAAAGCACAATAGGAGCGTAAGCTATTTCGTTAGTGTTCTAAAGACCACAGAACATTTCAGAGAAGTCTGAAAGTCTACTTCTTCTGGAGTCTAGCAGTTCTGTTTTCTAATCTTCACAATTGGGGGGGTAAAAAACCTTTTGTTTCACAGGTACAGAAAATAATCAATCATTTCATTAAGTCTCTCCTCTTATCAGGGAAACTGGTTCCTTGATCTTAGCCCAGGGCAGGAAATAGCACAGTCAGGTATGACTCTAGCATCCTTGTCCTGTCATTGTAAAGATATTCATGAAGGTCATCATTCAGAAATTTTACTTGGTGCCATTTAGTGAATTCTTGTAAAATTTTAATATTCCGTGATGTGGTTTTGATATAAAAAGCTTGATTTTTAGACATTATCAGTCACCCAAGGTCACATGAAAGGTGAGCAAAAGGCTCTCTGCAAAGCAGCATCTGATTTTATGGCTGAATGTGGTTTGGTCCCAAGAGGGGGGAAAAAGCACTTGGTCAGGCCAGTAACCATTTAGCTCCCTGTGTTCCACCAGTGTTCTTATTAACCCAGCAAAGGTTAACATCTCCTCAATAAGGAGCTCAGAAAGAAAGGTTACTTCGTGGTACACAGAGTCTTTTCTCAGCGGAAGAATTTGTTAGCAACTAAGAAAATATGCATAGGAAATTGCAATGATTTATTTTGTGACTTAAGCTCCTTACTACTGAAATGGCAAACTGCAAATTGCAACCATGTAAATCCTTGACTAAAGCTTTTTTTAGAATCTATTAAGCAAATGCCACTTGGTTGCCATGTTTTCTTTTCCGAACTTTTGCAGATTAGGGCAGGACCTGAGTCCAAAGATGTCAGAGAGCAGAAAGGATCAACTGAATAAGTTACTCTTCTTTCATTTTCTTAAACTTAAGAACTTGTGCTGTGTGGCTAGATTTCCTAAGGTTTATTGCCTGTAAGACTTGGATTTAAATTATATGTAGAATGTTTCACCTTTAAGGAGAAGACGCGTAAGATCAGGAGATAAGATCTGGATACAAGCAACTACAGCAGTGTCTAGACTTGCAAAAGAAGAAAGATCAGATGGTCCCTGTGTTCTTGAAACCAAAATCATTTTCACTTTTAATTTAGAACAGTGCGGTCTGGAGAGGCGTGTGTTCTAGACTATCTGGATAATTGCTTCAGTCATCCACTTGACTTTAGGGAGAGAGACTTAGCCTTGGGTGAAAATTAGGAGAGAACAGAGAAAAGTTCTCCACTCTGACTTGCACATTAAAATCTTTTGAGGAGCTTTAGAAAATTCTCAATGCCCGGACACCACCCTTGGAAATTTCAATTCAGTTAGTCTGAGTCTAACTGACGTTTTTTTCAATGTGCCCCAGGGTGATTCTAATGTGTAGTCAGGGTCAAGAAACCAGTGAGCTCGATGAATTACTGCACGGGTGATTAAAAACTTTTCAGTTTATCTGCAGTGCAAGTAGTTTGTTTCTAACAGTTATAAATTTCTTTCCAGCCTGGAGATGAAAATATCAAGGTCAAAGTATAAGTGTTCTTTATTTGCCAACGGATATGAAATGATCCATATTTACATGCATTTAAAGATCTTCAGTTTTCATTTGACTTACGTTTATAGGTATATTTCTGTAAAAAGGCAGGCATATCCTATGGTCACATTTAGTAAGCCATATGAATACATGACGATTTAAATCACAGTGCCATATTTTTCTGTTAAACTTTCCATGAGAGTATTTTTAAGTGGCTAACAAGACTTTGCAAAGTGTACCTGTGAAAACTATAATTACCAACCTTGTTCCCTTAAGCATATTTTCAATATTAGTGCTTGGTTCTTGTTCAGTGCTTTTCATCTTTGGAAAGCAAACTGTTTCTAGATTTTACTCATGTGCTTGACTTGTACAGAGCTATATTATTCCTGTTTTTCAGCCACATAACACTGAGGTATGGAGAAGCAGCCTGGTGTGAACCAGCAGTTAGAGCTGTGGAGATAGTTGATGTGTGGATAGCACTGGTTTATAAGGAAGGAGTTACCAGACCTGGCAAGTGGCTAGCAGGCTCTGCCCACATGCTTACTGGTTACTCCAGACTGATTCGTTTGATGTCTTGCCCAAATGATTGTCCTTGTTCAGTCTTTGTCAGTTTCAGTGCTAGCAACTGATTGGTGTAACCCCCAGTGACAATCCGAATATTCCTGAGATTGGCTTACCAGAAAGTATGGACATCTACACCTTGATTTATGTCCTGGAGTTCCCATTTATATGAAAAGGCCACGTGATTGGTAAAACCACGCTCGGATGTTTTCATGTAGGTCATCACCCTTTTCTTCCATGGAACTCAGCAGTAGCAGTACAATCTGCCAATTCACCCACATCTGGATCAGTTCTCTCCCGGGCGAATCTGCTGATTCACCCACATCTGGATCAGTTCTATCCCGGGCGTTTTCTGCCTGTAGAGCTTTCAAGTGCTGTAGAGCCCGCATTTGGTAACCTTCAGGTCCGGCGTGCTCTGTTTGGTTTTGGTGTGCTTCGTCCTTGAGTGAGCCCCTTGCAGCCTCAACTAGTGGAGCACGTAGCTAGATGGGTGAGACGTTTTCCTAAGTTAGACACACGTTCCTGTATCATATTTTTGTTTATTGTTCACAGTTGGGACCCAAAACAGACAACAACCCCCAATTTCCCTTATATGCTCCCAGCGAACTGCTGTCTCGCGCAAGAGAAATAAAAAGAAAAAAGTGCCCCCAAAGACTGTAGAACCTCTTACTGTGAAACCGAAGCCCAGTGCGTTAGAGGCTGAGAAGAAGACCGCAGTGGCCTCGGAGCAGCCTGACCCCCAGGCGGCCGAGCACACCTCCGCTGGGGAGAACCACGTCCTGGGATTTGGCATTGTTCTCGAATCGCCTTCCTCAGATGTAAGTTGATGTCTTGCTGCTGATGCTAATGTGATGTACCTGTCAAGGATGTTATAGTATTACCACACTTTCCCCTTAACTCGTGCTGCCCAGGCAAGCTGGGAAAACTTGCGGAGTACACAGGGAAGAGAGGAAAGGAAGATGATGACTATTCTCCTTCCCGAGCATTTTCTCTTTTGAAAATCATATGCCTTATTTACTTAAACAGGTTTCCATTCTGTATCTTTGCCAGAAGAAGGGGGATGGAGTAAATAATCCGCTCACTAATTTCTTTAACATTTCTAATTTTGGAGCGGCCGTTTTTCAATTTCCTCAGTGTAGAGAGCTAAAAGTACGTAATTAAATCCTTTGTAGATGGGCATAAATGAACTGAACCTTACAGATAAGGTCACACCTTTCTAAAAACACAAACTAATAATAAAAAAAGGAGCTGTAGTGCTAATTCTATTTTATAGATGCAGGCTACACTGCTAATTAGGTTCCAGTGCCATGTCATTTACTCTGTGTAATGATAGGTTGACGCTCTGCAAAGGTTTTTCTATTTTAATATCATAGCGAGGATGTCTCAGTCCTAGATGCTGGATCACATCTAAGATACCTATCTGACTTGCCATTTTATATTCGATGACCATCAACTAACTTCTTTAATAGTGTGTTGTGTATACAACCGCATACTCCTCACAATATGTTCATCTAAGGACACTGATGTTGTGAACCCCAACTTGTTGGGGGTTCTTACAATAAACAAGAATGAGCGATCTATTCTTATCTGATTGCGTAGGACGAGAATCCTGCTGGGAACTGCCGTGGGCCTGTATGGGATTGGAGTTTGGCTCTACCTTTTCAACTTTAAAGGAGAAATAAATTGTTTTTAAAGAAGTGTTCCCTTTCAAATTGCGGATAGGCAGTTTGCTAACATGTATGCACATTGGGTCTTTAATAAAGGGAGGCGACAAAAATAATCACCTTGTGACTTTTTTAGACTAGAAAATCATTTGAACTTTTATCCAATCCTTGGTGTCAAAGGGTTTTTTGTTTTTGTTTTTTATTTAGGAACACATGCCATAATTGTTAAGAAGCTCTTTCAGACTAAAAACTGAATTTAATAAATCATTAATGATAATGTTCTCCTTCAGACCAGTCAGCTCCTTTGATTAGATCATATTTTATTCCAACTAAGGCCATGGTTTCAAAACCCATGTAGATCACGTATTTGCAAACAGGTAAATTATTTCATAACACAGAGTACGTTCAATCTGAAGCAGTTTTCTTATTCTTTTTAGATTTTTCTTAGCATTCTTTTGTGATAGGTATTGATGTATCCGGTGCAATCATTTGACTTGTATAAATCATCTCCTAAATGGGTTGATCTAATGCTAATAACTGAACTTTCTCCTCTTTCAATTTTTAAGCTCCAAATGCCCTTAAGGCAAAGATAAATTGAGGAATACCAAATAAAGACCTTATGTACATTAGTGAAATAGAATTTTTCTTATCTTTTCCAATATCAGTATTATAATTTTATTTATATACCACATAAAAGTAGCTTGCTTTTTATTCATGATTATTTTTGCTAACAAGAGCTATTAAATTGAGTATAGCACATTCAGAATTATCCATGAAAACTCAGTTAGATGCTTATTACCTTGATGGAAGAATAACATGCTTCTAAAGAAAAGCAAAAAAATATATATGGATATTCTCTTTACATTATCCAGCCAATACGCCATTTGATTCATCTCTTCAACAGAATCTCACTGCACCTCCAGGACTGTGCTGTGAGTTACATCATTGGATAAAGACGTTTTGTCCATGGATAGCGCCCACTGGCATTAATGAGGCTGGCCTGTGCAGTCCCTGGGAAGGGAGACTGACTCTCTTAGGTGATGGGACCATCAACGCTAGGGCATCCAAATTAGATGCTTTCTAATCTTATTATTGCTTAGCCATGAGCCCTTTAAAATTTGGTGGAAGTCCAGAGGAGAAAACAAAATATTTAATAATCTTGTAAGAATTTTTCTATAAAACAGATTAGAGAAAATATAGTTGGAGATTTTTTGAAGATAGACTCGGAAGAGTACCCAGCGTTGGGAGGATTAGGTCCAAAGTTGTAGGATTGGGCAAGTGGTCCAGTGTTGCTAGAACAGCTGCCTGGCCAGCATTGGTAGCAGATGATGCATGTCCTGCTGTGTGACGCCAGGGCCCTTGGCCTTTATCTCTGGACGCTAGGAAGCCATTACAAGTTTCAAGCAGAGGAATAATCTCTCCTGTGTTTTAGAATGGAAACTGGAACAGTGTTGTAGATGGTAGATGGAGAAAAGATACTAGAGACAGAAAGACCAGGAGGAAAATAATTAGTCAGCCAGGCAAGAGACCGGGAGGGTCGATGCATGAGTAATGAGCCTAAAGAGAAAGACATGAGAGATACTTAGGAGGTTCCTGCACAGAGGACTTGGTGACTTAATGGAAAGTAACCCACAAATCCCTATCTTGGAAAACTAGGTCGGTTACTCGATGGCACTGACTTCTTTAACTGAGATAGGAAAAGAAAGGGCAGAAGCAGGCTTCAGCTCTGGATGGGAAGTAAGAGTGGGTTTAGTATTGTCAGAATGTTCATTAGACATGTGACGCACAGGAGAAAGATTAGAGCTAGAAGTAATGAAAAAATGCTACATAAAACCTATGCTTTATTGTTTTAAATGTAAAAATTATACTGTATATTCTTTTAAATTCACAAGGTATGAAGTTTACCTTTTTTACATTGTGACTTTTAGAGTCAACCAAATACCACTTTGTGTATCTATGCACAAACACAAACATAAGGGCCCATGTGGGGCTATAGATTGTTGCAGGTAGACCACCAGTAATGATTATCTGTGCTCAAAGGCAGAAAAACAGTGAGCTCTAATCAAAACCAACTACCATGTCAACACCTCAGAGTATTGTAAACGCTAAGTGGTATAGAGAATGTGGGAAAATACTATTGCAGTGCCTGGCACATAAAAGGTACTCAATAAGTATTATTTAGTCTGCAAATGACGACGCAGCTGTATTTGCATTAAGCACAATATACAGTATAAACTTATAAAACTTTGGGTCTAGGACTTGGCTTTATTAGAACCCTCTCCTCAATTGAAATCCCATTTTCTCATTCTTTCCTTATTATTTCTCTCTGTACTGCCCCCCGCCCCCCGCCCCAAGGCAGCAGTATACTTTCAACAGCCCTCCTCTGTAAAACTTTCTATTCTGGTTTGTGATTATTTACATGTTTTCCCCTCCCTCCTCCCCAGCTTCTCAAGGGCAGGGACTATGTTGTTGTTGTTATTATTATTATTATTTTATTATTATTATTATTTGTGTGCTATCCTTTGCTAAATAATTTATCACATTTTACCCTTACTCTTTGAGGCATGATTATTATCCTCATTTTACAGATGAGGAAACCGTGGCATAAAGGGCTTAAGCAGCCTGCCCAAGTTCACACGGGGAGAAGGGTGGAGCTGGTTCTCAATCCCAGGTCTGCAGTGAGTCCTTATCCTCGAGTGAAAGACTCCGGCGCCTGTCGTAGCGCAGTTTTGTACATGCCCAATACCCAGTAACTGTTCATGGCGTGATTGTTACACAAAGAACTGAAAGGTTAGGCTATGGCTGTGCATTCTCCTTACTTGGAAGTTTATGGGGAGGAAAACTTAATGGTTTAAGTACAGGCTCTGAGGTCAGGCTGCCTGGGCAAGAAGCTCGGGTGTGTGACCCTAAGTACACCTACCCTCGCCTCCCTCACTTTTTTCTCCATAAAATGGGAAGAGTGATAATGCAGACCTCAGAGTTGGCCTGCTGGAAGAGTTAAATGAAGTAATCTGTGCAAAGTACTTTGAATGATGCCTGGTACATTTTAAGCACTGAATAAATATTCGTTTTTTGTTAAACCTTAGCACTCCTAGCTAAGTGCTTTTATAGGGATAACTTTAAGTATTTAAGTAAACTTATGTGTACATATAAGTGAACAAATACACATGAACAAATAGCATTGTTAAAAAAGAGTGGCCAAAAATGTTTCTCTTTTGGGGCAGGATTATTTGACCCATTTTAAATGAGTCCATGAAATAGAATTGAAATCTGAATTACACAGAAGAAAATCAGAAACCCAAAACCACATTTCAGATTTAAATATTTCATTCTTTCTTCATGAGTTCACAACCCAATACTCTACTAGTACTCAGACAAGACAGTTAGGAATTTTTTACAGTTACTGTTTTTTCCAACTTAGCTGAATATATTGGCTTATGTTTTTCGGGAAAGTTATACATGGCTTACATTTTTCTATTTATTGTAATGACTATGACTATTTTCCAGTAATCCTAGATTACAAAAAAGTTATCAGGAGATAAATCCATGGACATCCATCAATTTAAGATACTTTTGTTAATGTTTATATTTTATGTCATTCTTAAAGTATAACAATTTAAAATATATGGGTGCTTTCAACATTAATAGCTTCTGAATTCAGAATCTGTTTTCCTAGCTGCTTCCTAGCCCAATAATGAAGTAATCCACCAGAAACTAGTAAAGCAAATCAATCAAGCAAGCTATTTTCAAATTTATTCATTGACCCATTGAAATTGAGGCAGTATATGCTTTTTAGTGTAAATTCTAGTGCAGACTACCTGGGTTCAAATCTTTGCCTCATCACTTATTCGCTGGATAATCTTAAAAAGTTACCTACTCTCATTCAACCTGAGTTTTTGCATCTGCAAATTGGGGGTAATGATAATAGGCACTTCATAGGCTGAGAATTAAATTAGAAAACTATGTAATGTGTGTTTCTTTAGGGCCTGGAATATAGTAAGTAGCAAATAGTGTTAAATAGAGCACCATTTTCCAGGGCGTACTGAAATGAGTGAAATAGTCCTTGCCCTTCAAGGAGCATATGAGGGAAACACATAACCAATGAGGACATTATAATAGGACCTGAGCTCTAGCATAAGCTGTCAAAGCAGCCT